GCCTCCACTCCACGCAGCCTCACTTGGGGTGGAGCCCCTCCACCCACGGACGCGCAGCACTTGCCCTCTGTCAGCCTGAGAGGGCATCCTCTGGTCCCAACGGCCCAGGGACAGCGCTGGGACCCAGTCTGGACGCCCAACCCTATGTGGAAGCCCTGGAACAAGGCACAGAGCTTCACACGCTCCTCTCCGGCCAGTCAGGCACCCCCAGAACGTCGCGAGGGCCAGAGCAGGGAAGCGGGCACAGCCCCGCTGAGGGCACCGGGGGTGGGGGGGGCGGCCCTTCACATCCAGCGCGGGAAGGTCGTTTTCTCTGACGTTCTCATCACCCCTGGGGCGAGGGAGACCTCTCCCCACCTGTCCAGGATTTCTACCCGCCCCCCCCAATCGTCCCGGGAGGAACCTGAGACCCAACCAAAGGGGTCAGACGAGCTGCAAAGGGGCAGGAAACCGGGGTGGGCTCTGGCGGGTTTTCGAATCCAGCCTCCACCCGTGGGCCAGGGGCCCTGCTCTTGCCCTCCACCAGCTGAGGAGCCCAGTCTACGGGGGCAGTGGCGGGGGGGGGGGACTGGGGCAGCTGGATCTGTGGCTGGTTCCTTCCTCCTGGAGGCGTCTGAACAGCCATGACAGCAGCTAAGGGTGGCGGAGCCTGGCTCTGGGAAGAGCTTCTTCTGGGGCTCCCCCTCTTTCCTCTCCCTTCCCCTCTTCCCCCCACCCTTGTCTTCTGCGTCTCTGGTCTTACAGAAGGGGAGCACCCCACGCCGTCCTTCGTCCCCCACCCCGCCCCCGCTGAGCCAGGAAGTAGAGTCTGGGGGCCAGAACACCCATTCCCAAGTCCCCGCACATCCAAATATTTACTGCTGTGTCTGCACACAAAAATTCATACACCAATTTTGTCGGCGGTTCCCACTGCCCGCTTCGCCTTCGGGGAGTCAGGCAGGCTGCCCGCCCTGCGGACCACAATGGTAGCGCCCACAATGCGAGCACAGAGGCCGGCTGGTCGCGCATACAAAGCGCCCGGCCTGGCCATTATCATTCCGGAGCCGAAACCCACCCCAGCCCGCATCTCATCGGTCATTCAGCAGCCCTTAATGACTTGTCAGTTCCTTGCCCTGCCATTTTCTGTCTAATTAATTCTTTTATTGTGCACCGGATAAAGAAAGACAAAGGCCTCCCCGGCAATAATGATTCATTAAAATGCAGCGCCTTCTCCGTTGCTCTTGGCCTCGCACCAGCCCGGCTGCTCAGCCCTGCCGCGGGCGCTACCGCTGCACCCCCCCCAACCCCCGGGCCGCGCGCCCCTTAACCCTTTGCAGGGCTGGGGGCCGGTGGTTGGCTGCACGCCCGGCATCGGGTGCCGCCAGCCTCCGCCCTGGGGGACCTGGTGAGCCGCCCAGGCTGCTCCTGTTCCCGCCCCGGCGGGGAGCCCCTCGGAAAGGCCTCGTGGACTGTACTGCACTTTCCCACGGCAGCCTCAGCGGGACTGGATTCTGGCCCCGACCCCACCAGGAAGGCTGGGGCTGGTGGGGGTGCGTGTACCACACACAGCCCCCCCCCCAGGGCAGGCCAGCATGGGCGGGGGAGGCAGGGGGGCTGAGCCGGGGGGGCAGCCAAGGCAACAGGTCACTAGAGGGAGTGAGGACCCCAGGGCTCTAGGGACAAATCCACCAGCGGGGCCGGGCAGGAAGGGACCTGCCACATGTGTGTGCTGGCCACAGCCAGGCCAGCTTAATCCTCAGCACCTCGGCAAGGCGGTCAGCATCCCACGGTCATGGGGGGAAACTGAGGCCCCCAGAGATCACTGGCACGTGGCAGAACTTCCAACCACTGGCCTGGCCTCCTGGGAGTAGGCTTGTCAGGAGGGACCCCGGAGGCAGAGGCCGGGAAAGGTGGCTCCGCTCTGCAGGCTTCTGGATGCACTTTCTCTGCCTGGTTCACTTTTACTTCATTTTCTTACCGACAAACCCACCTTACTTGCAGATGAGCAGAAAGAAGCATCTTGTGATTAGAGGTAGGAATGTGCTAACGTGCTCTCGGGCATCTGCAAAACGTGGGGTCACAGCCAGGGCCTAATCTCACGGAGCGCCCCCAAACACTGCAGGGAACGCAGGAGATGGGGAAACCCTTGGCGCCCCGAGTCCCGCTCTTCCTGGGACAGAAATGGGCTGGGGGTGGGCAGTGCCAGGCTCTCAGCTCCGGGACGATCCTCGCATGAAGGCAGGGCCACGCCCCCCATGTGTCTCCCCTTTGTGCTCCTTCCCTTCCGGACTCTTCTCTTTGGAAGGCTCCCGTGGCCCCCGGGGGCACCCCAGGGCCTCCACAGCCCCGTCCTGGGAGGACTTCTGCTCCCGCCGGGATGTAGGGACCCCCACAGCAGGAAGGCTCCGGCCCAGAGCGAGAGAGAAGCAGACCCCCCCGCCGGGCTGTTACACCCCCCCCCTTGGGAAGGGGTCCCTGCCAGAGTCCCCGTGGCAGCAGCTCCCGCCCCTGGTCTTGAGGTGTGCACCTCGGGTCTCCCCAGGCCATCTTGCAGCACTGGCTCATGGTCAGCGCCCGTTTCCCATCAAGCTTGGTGGACCATGTCCCAGGAGGCCGTCGACACAGGGTGGTAAGGACTTCAGCATCCCAGGGGCCCAGAAACCAGTCGGCTCCACCCCGCTGTGTGGCCCATAGCTCCCGCAGCCCTGGTCGGCCAGAGACAGGTCCATAGAGATCCTCTGTCCAGGGCCGACCTGGAGGCCCCGAGCCAGACGTCGGGGAGGAAAGGTCAGGGTCCATGCACCAGGCCATGACCCTGAGTCTGACACACGCCCTGGGGGTGCCGTCCCCTAAATGCAGCTGAAGTCGAGGCCGGCAGGATGGGTGCGGAATCTGCCCCTCTTCCCCCGGGGACAGGCCTGCTGAGGGGGGCCCCGGGGCTCCCCCAGGCAGCTGCCCGGAGGACACAGGCTCTCCCCAGAGCTGACAGCCACGCCGGCCATGAAGTCACATCCAAACAGAAAAGTCTGTTCCTGAAAGCCGATATATCGTCCCAGGAAGAGCAATTATACGCGGAACCGGGAGGGGCTTTCCCAATCTATCAGAGCAGGGTCTGGGTCATAAACGCCCTTTCCCCTTTGTCTCTGAATAGGGCATTCTGTTCAGCTGAGATCAGAGGCAAGGCACTTAGCTCTGGGGAAGGAAATGAAAAATGAGGAACTTTTCCCTCCAGCTCGTCCCCAAGATGGGCCGATGGAGCGCTCTCTGTGAGCACTGGGCTCTGGACGGGCTTGGACTTGGGGCCCTGTGGGGTGAGGTGGCCTCCTGAGCGGTGCAGTCTGTTGGGAGCTTGCTGGAAAACCCCTGACAAGCCAGGGACCAGGGCGGTCCCGGGGACCCCTCCCAGCACCTCCTCACGACAGCACTGGGGACCCAGCATTTGGGGAGCAGAGGCCCCATGACCCCCAGGACCCTTGGCCGCGGGCTCAGCCTCCGATGTCTGAGAGTGCCGTGAAGGGAAGGCCAGCAGCTTGGCCCCCAGGGAGGGGTGGGGCGTTTGGAGAGGAGAGGGACCACAGTGGCTGTTTACGTGAGCTCGGACGCCGGGAGCCTACAAGGTGGCTTGCCTGGGACGCGGGGCCAGAAGGGCCCTCGAACAGTCAGGTTGGTGGGACGAAGGGCTGGGCCCCCGGGAGGTAACACACAGGAACCCCTCCAAGTCCAGACAATCCCAGGGCCCAAGTCAATCCCAGAGCAGCAACAGGGCGACCTCACTCTCTCCGTCAGGGAGCCGGATGCAGGGGCTTTCCTTGGTTTGGGGTGTCCGCGTGAAAGCCCCGAGGGCCATATGGACCCGGACAGCCCTTGGCTGGGCGCAGGACGCACTGGACAGGCGCCACACAGGCATCCGTGAGCCTGGCTGGCAGCCCCCTCCAGACCCCGCCTCGCCCCGGAGGCTTGGCACGGCCCAGACCCCACGAACCCTCGTAAATCCGGGCAGCTCTTCCCGGCTCTTGGCAGGCCCCGGACGTGGCTCTCCAGCTCGGGGTGAGGGACGTGCCCTGGATCACGGCCACGCGGGCGGCCGGCAGACAAGGGGGCGGGATGGGTGCCCCCCTACCCGGGCCACCCCGTTAAAATCGCAGAGGCGGTTGCTTCAAGTAGCTGGCTTCCCATGAGACGCTGAGCTTGCTCTCAGCCCCAGTCAGAGATGCCCCAGACGCATCCGCACGGCCCTGAGCAGCCTCTGAACCAGCTGCATGTGCCGGGGGGCCCGGCCGAGGGGTGAGGCTGCCCCTTGCTTGCGGGTGCTCCCCACAAGCATTCCTCCCTAGAGACACTCGGCTGGCCAGACGGCCCTGCCCAGTTCCCGCAAGGCCGCTTTCACCCAGCTCCCAGGCTGGCTCTGCGCCAGTGCCCAAAAAATGCCGCCAGCCACCCAGAAACCCTCGCTGGGATTTGCCTGCAAGGAAACCATGGCCCCGAATCTGGACCCGTTTTGCCTACTGAATAGGCCTCCGGGGGAAGGAAGACGCTGGCGGCAAGGCCGGCTTCCTGGGGCCTCAGATCTGTTCAAATCCAGACACAGCCCCTGCAGTTGGGGGGCGGGGGGGGTGCGTCTGGCTGTGCCCCAGGGTGGAGCGCTGTCTCTGCCTTCCATGGGGCTCCGGATGCCCACATCCTCGGAGGAGGGCTCCGGGGAGACCCCACTGCTGCCTCGGCCAAGGCCCAGGCCCTGGAGCCAGACCTCGTGCTCTCGGAGCCCCCATCCCCCAGGCTTACGGAAAGCAACACACAAAACGCAGCCCAGGTAGATAAAAAGCATTTTTTTTTTTAATTTTATCAAATTGGTCTGTACAAAAGTTAGCGTTGCTTGGTCAGAAAGTAGCGGAACACAGCAGGTAAGTGACAGCGGAAGCCCAAACTCCACGCGCAACAACGGATTTTGCATAAAAATGAGTTCGCTGTAGTTCCCTGCCCCCACCCCCAGAAAGAGATAACGCAAAAAAAAAAAAAAAAAAATCTTTTTTCTTCTAGAAAAAGGTAGGAAAAAGTAGAAAAAGTAAAAAGAAGCAACTTCTCAGATGTCTTTAAATGTACAAAGTTTTAAAGGCACAAGTTTCCATGAATAGGCAGTTACCGTTGCTGGGCACACAGCAGAAGCGGCACGCGTACATCGGGTGTTATTCTTCTACAGCTAAGACTCGAAACACTTAGTGGAGAAGGTTTTAGTTTCACAGCTTGTAGGTGGCGTCTGGGCCCTAAGAGCTGAGATTCACGGGCTTCTCCAGCCACCCCCTCCCGGGAAATCCCAGTCCCCCACCTGGCACAGTCGTGGGCAGGGATGGAGTCCAGGGACACCCATGCCCTCTAAGCCTCGACTTCACACGGGTGCCACGGACCCCTGGCCCGGTCACGGACACTACCAGCCAACCACTCCCCCCGCCCCCCAGGGTCCCGGCCACCTCCCAGGAGCCTGGAGCCCCAGGGCCCCCTCCCCGCGCCTCCTCCTGGCCCTGGCGCTCAGCAACCCAGCCTCCGTTTCGTCTGAAATTCTACTTTCTGCACAAATTACTTCATTAATTAAAGATAAAATAATACAGAACATAAATACATTTCAACAGCTTCCAAAACAAATCGAACGTGTTTAAGCTTCAAAAATAAAAATTAAAAAATAAAATAAAATAAAAAGAGGGAAGCGTTAGTCACAGCCAAACCTTGCTGGGAAGAGCCTGCATCGTGGGAGCACCTCGGATCTGACGGGCTGGTCCCGAGAGGTGCTCCCGCAGACGCCATCTCGCCAGGCGGATGCCGCTCGCAGCAGGGACGGCGCCCGTCAGTCCCGTGGTTCCCGGTGCGAGGCTGGCAGGGACCCCGGAACACGGAGCCCCCCGCCCGCGCCTCTTCCCTCCTTTATGTCTTGTGCTGTGGCTGCTTTGTGTCCACCGACATGCGAAACCAAGGGGCTGCCGTCAGCAGGGAAGAGGGCCCACCGGCCGTCCCTCGTCCAGAGCCACCAAGGGTGAGCGAGAAGGGGAAGAGGGCTTTGTCGGCTGCAGGGCGTGTGGTGATCTGGAAGCCACGGGCACCGGGCACGGAGCGTGCTCTCCCGCAGACGTCAGCAGGCACTTGCCGGAGCCGCCATCTCTTCTCCCCCCGCCGCGGCACCCCGTCCGGAAGGCCGGAGGCTCTGCGTGCCTCTGCCGAGATACGGGTCCTGGCTCACCGACGCCAGCCCCTCCGCGGCCACGGGCCACAGCGCCTCAGGGTCGGCTCAGGGTAGTGTACACGGGCTGGTCCCAATTGCCAGGGGGGCTGTGGGCGGGCGGCACGGAGAGGCCGCTGAGCAAGGGCGAGGCGTAGGGCCGCCGGGAAGGGTGGAAGTAGGGGCACTGGTAGAGGCTGGGGGGGCAGCCGGGGTACGGGCTGTAGTAGCTGGGCGCCTGCAGGTCGGTGTAGTCGCACTGCGAGCTGGTGAAGGAGCTGGCGGCCGAGGCTGGGGCCGCCGTGGTCACGCTGGCCTGGCCACTGTAGGAGCCATAGTCGGCGCGGCCGGGGGAGCCATGTGACTGGTCGCCGTAGTGGCCGGGGCTCAGCTGCTCCGTCTTGATGTGCGGCCGCGGGGGGCCCGTCTCGGTGGGCGACCCCGAGGCCGACGGGGCCCCCTTGTGGGCCCACACAGGCGACGCCCCGAGGCCGGCTGCCCCCGAGTGTGAGTAGGAGGCACCCCCGTAGGAGCCGGCGGCAGGCTGGCCTGGCTCTGTGGGCACGGCCGAGTGGCCATTGAGGGGCAGGTACTGGTCGAACTCGTGCACATCGAAGGTGTCCATGTTGCCGATGACCTCGCTGCTCAGCTCTGAGATGTCCACGTTGCTGAAGTCGATGTTCTGGCGCCCGCTGTCTGCCAGACGGCGGCCTTCCAGCTTCAGCTCTGGCTTGCCCCCGGGGTGCAGGTCTGTCTTGGGGGTGGTGGGCGGGGTGGGCGGCCCGTGGGTCTGCCCTAGGGACAGAGCACATTTCAGGCATGAATGCCCCTTCTGTGGGGGGCCGGCCGGCGACTCGCACCCAGGAGGAAAACCAGCCCACTAACTGCCGCAGGTAGAAATCAACGGCTTTTTGTTTCTGTACGTTTCCCAGAAATTCCAGCAGAGCCAGACCCAGACCTCACTGCTTGGCCGAGGAAATTCCGTTAAGCACCGTTCTGCAGGAAGAGCTGGGGCCCTGGAGGCCCCCGCCCCCACCCCGGGAAGACCAAGGTGGCGGGAAGGAGAGGAGGTGCCCAGCCCCTTGCACATGACCACAAGGCCGTGCCCACAAAACTGACTCTCCCCCAGGCTCACAGCGGTACCAGCTTGACAGAGGCTGCTCGGCTGGCCGGGACCATCCCCCCAGTCCGTCTAATCTGGAGGCCGGGCTGCCGACCACCACGCCAGGGACATGAGTGAGTGCTGGGTCAGCCCCGGCAGAGAGGCCAGGGGAAGCAGAAACGCCTTCAGGCAGGGCAAAAAAGTGCCCACGTCACGTGGCACCCGACCAGGGAAGAGTTGTGAGAATATAGGGGCTCAGAGGGGGGCTAGGCAGAGCCCCGTGTGCACCGGGGACCTTGGGGTACGCGGACACCAGCCCTGGGAGTGAACCCCTGCTCCCTACCCCCACTGCTCATCTCGGCAGGTGCCAGAACTCCCACTTCTGCTGGGGTGGGAAGACGCTGGGGGGCCCAGGCGCCCACCTGTGTGGTCGCTGTGGTGGTGCGCGTCACCGAGGCCCGCGTCTGCCTTGTACACGGCACCCCCGGGATGGGGGCCCAGCTCGACTCCGGAGTCAGAGTCGCCCTGGCCTGCTTTCACGCTCTTCCTGCGGCGCGGCTGGTACTTGTAATCCGGATGGTCTTTCTTGTGCTGGACCCGCAGCCGCTCCGCCTCCTCCACGAAGGGGCGCTTCTCACTCTCGCTCAGCAAGCTGCAGCACCAAGGGCAGATGTGGGATGGTGAGGGTACTCACGCCCCCCCCCCAATGCTCACAGGGACACCTGCGTGTGCTCCCACCCCTCAGCAGGTACTAGGCGGGTGCCCCCTCCTCCAAGGACAGTGGCTTTGGGCAGCCAAGGGCTTCTGGTGAGGGTCAAAGGAACATTCTGGAACAAAACCCAAAGCTTTCCATCTCCATCATTTTTTTACTTCCCTTTGCCCCGAGACCGTGTAAGTCCCCTCCCTCTGGGGCTTTCTACAGCAGGCGGGGGAGGAGGCAGAGCCCAGCTGAGAACACACTGCTAACGGAAGAGGCTTCCCGGGAGTGAGCAGGCAGGGACTCCGTGGGCACCTGGGCTTCCCAGAGCTCTGAGAACCCTGTCTAAACCGGGGGTCCTCGCTGAGGCTCACAACACACACCGGGCTCCTCAAACCCTCACCTCCAAGTGCCTATGGGGCAGGGCACAGAGCTGCCAGAGTCCACTGTGCCCGGACCGGACAGAGGACAGACAGAGCACAGAGGATATCTGTGCAAACTTCCAGTGCCCACTCAGGAGGAGGGGAGTGGGAAAGGGGATCCCGCGCCCTGAACCCAAAGACCGCCATGGGTGGGGACAGGCTGTTCTGCGCAGCAAGCACCCCTGCTGATGCCCTACTTTCTGCACAAGCGTCCAGCTCCCCCATGCCCAGTGAGCACAAAGCACGCTTGTGCCGGACCGCTCTTACATCCCCAGCCTTTCCTTGCCCAGGGGTGAGGGGTGCAGAGTGGGCAGCTGCCAGCTGGACACACACGCACCCCGGCCTCTGCCTTGACTTCCCGCACACGGTGGTCAGGGCGGAGGAGAGCCCTTTCCAAAGAGGGGCGCCTCCAGCCAGCACCACACTCCCCCATACTGTGACCTGCTCCGGACAGAAACCACCCTTCCTCGGGGGGGGGGGGGGNGGGGGGGGGGGACACACAGGCCTCTGGGCTTTGGGGCCGCCCACAGGTGGGGTCCCCCTCTCAGCAGGCAGTTGGCGCTGGGGGAGTGTGCTAGGGCTTGCATGCTCGCCCTGCAGCCCTCTGCGGCCCAACCGCCTGAGTCCCCCGGGGTGCCGGGGGTGCCGCCACCGCGGCGGAGGGCTCGCCCCGGGACGGCCGCGGGAGCAGAGCCGAGGCCGGGCGCGGGGCCGCCGCCCGGACCCCGGGGGCCCCAGGACCCGCTCGCGGCCCGCCCGGCCCGCGGACGGCGCGCTTACCGCCACAGCTTGCCCAGCGTCTTGCTGAGCTCGGCGTTGTGCAGGTGCGGGTACTGATCGGCCAGCTTGCGGCGCGCCGCCTGCGCCCACACCATGAACGCGTTCATGGGCCGCTTCACGTGCGGCTTCGCCTTCAGCGCGCCGCCGCCGCCGCCGCGCACCGGCATGGGCACCAGGCTCCAGTCGTAGCCCTTGAGCACCTGCGACACGGCGTCGCGGATGCAGGCCGGGAAGCGCTCGTCCGCCGCCTCGGCCGCGTCGCCCCGGCCGCCGCCCCCCGCGCCCGCCGCGCGGCCCAGGCCCTCGGAGCCCGCAGGCGACGGCGGCGCGTCGGAGTCCGAGTCCTCCACGTGCGACATGGAGCTGGCGGTGCCGGACGGGCTGCAGGGCGGCTGGGCGCGGGCCTCGCTCATGTCCAGCATCGGGGCCGCGCGCGGGGGCCGCTGCTCGGCGGCGCCGCGGCCGCCCTGGGACCCGAGGTCGCCGCGCGGTGGCCCGACCCGCGTCCCCGCCGCCGCTCCGCCGCCGCCGCAGCTCCGTCCCGGCGGAGGACCCGCAACAAGTTTCTTTAAGCGGCGGCCGCGAGGCTCCGCCCCCGGGCCGAGTCCCCATTGGCCCGCGCGCGCCCCGCTGCCCCCGGGGGCGGAGCCCGGCTGCGCGCCCCTCCCCCACACGGAGAAAGTGCCGCGGTTCCCCCCGCGCCCCCGCGCGCCCCACCCGGCGCCGCCCCACGCCGCGGGCCCCCTTCCCGGTAGGCGCGGGGAGGGAGCGGGGCCCGGGCACCGGCACGGCGGGGCGCCCCGGGCCCTCCGCCGGGAGCGCGGCGGCTCCCCGAGTCCCGCCCTCGGCCCCCTCGCCCGGCCGGGGAAAGCCCGCTCCGCGTGGAGACGGGTCCTCCAGAGCCTCCCCCACAGCCGGCCAGAGCCCCGGCGTCTCGCCTGCACCCCGGAGGCGCCGGGGTCGGCGGCTGCCAGCCTGCGGCCCGGGGGAGGGTGGCTCGGCCGCGTAGCCTCAAAGCCCGGGCTCCCCGCCCGCAGGGCCGGCGCGCGGGGCGGGACCTCCAGCGCGCCCTGAGTTTGCGCGCCGCGCACGTCCAGGTAAAGCCCACCCGAAGGCCGCGGCCCGGAGCTGGGCGATCCCCGCCCCCGCCCCGTCCGGGTGTGAGCTGGGAAGGCGCGGGCGGGGGCGCGGCCCTGGGAGCCAGGCAGCAGGGGGCGGGGGGCGGGCGGGGACTGGGCTGACCCTCGCTGCCGAGTCCCCGGGGCCGCCCGGCGGATGGCGTGGCCGGACGCGGGGGCCTCGGGCCTTCCGGGCGCGACCCGGGGCGGGGGGCGGCAGCGCCGAGGCCGTCCGGCGGGGCGGCCCTGGGTGGTCCGGAGAAGGTGAGGGCCGCCTCGGGCGCCTGCAGTGGAGGAGGTGGGCGCGCCAGCCCGGAGGGAAGGGGGTGGGCTGTGCGGCCCGGCCGGGGCGGCGGGGTCGGAGGGGGGACGTTCCTCCGGACGCTAGCGCCGGACCGCGGCTCCGAGTCCCCGCCCGAGGCCGCCCCCGCGAGTTAGCCTGGGCCTGGCGGTCCCCTAGGGCGGCTTGGATTCTTTCGCCAAACTCGCAGGGAGACGATGGACCGGCGGCCCGGAGCTTCGTCACAGGCCCTCGGGTGGCCGGATGGGAACACGTGCGGCTGCGAGCTTGCGGCCTGCGCCCCGACTGACCCTGGGCAAGGAAGCCCAATTCCCCCAGCGGCGCCCCTCCTCAGAGTTCTGGACTCCGGGGCCAGTGGCTGCCGAAGCGGAGGGATGACGCCGGCTCTCCCGCAGCAGAAGGAGCGGTTCCGTTACCACAAAACTCCGAATTGAATGTTAGTGGGTGGGTCAGACCAAAGCATCTCTCTTGTGCACCTCTTCAACCCAGGGGCCGCCCCGGTGCCTCTGACCTGCGGACGGCCTCGTGGCGTCCCCTCCCGTGCCCCCCACTCCCGCCCCTGCCCGGGTTGCAGATTCTTCAGAAAAGAAGAGGCTCAGCTTGGGCCTTGGAGCCCGGTCCACCTCAGCTGCCCATCACGGCCTCTGGGGCCGCCCGGGGACCCCGCAGCCTCGCATCTGAAATATGTGGGTGTCTGTGGGGACCCCTCGGGGCCTAAGCGGGAGCGCTGGGGTGCCCGCACTGCCCAGGTTTCCTGCCACCTGCCGGGGACCCCAAGGCGCTCCCGGCTTTGCTCACAGTGGGCTCAGCTGCCTGCCCCGCGCCAGGGAGCCCGGTCTCCTGCCTTACAGCAAGGTGCCCCCGGGGTGTTGCAGCAGAGGCGGGGGGGGGGGGGGGGGGGGGGGGGGGGGGGGGGGGGGGGGGGGGGGGGGGGGGGGCAGTGGCCCGTCCTCTGGCCTCCTGTCCTGTGGCTGGCCTCCCTTGTCTGTCATCTGCCAAGAACGCTGTCGCCTGCTGGCCTGCGGGGCTCCCCCTTGGAAGTCCTGCCTTCCACCTGGGGCCCCCACTGTGCAGATGGAGGCCTCTGAGGGAGGGCCCGAGGGGAGGTTTCCTGGGGGCACCCACCAAACTCACGCCCCTTGCGAAGGCGAGCGGGAGTTTCCCAGAGTGTTGCGGCTGGCAGAGCTGCCTCAAACTCTCCTCTGCCCTCCGCGCCCCCCATCCCGGAAAAGTGGGCCCCGCGGCCCCTTGCACCCAGGGTGACATTGGGCGCCAGGTCTGGGTTTTCACGAAGAGCTCTGCTCTGCCAAGGACGACGAGGCCCAGGCTGCACCGGGGAGCCCAGGCGAGGCGGGGTCCCCCTGCTCCCTCCTGGCCTGCGGAGGGTCACGGGCAGGTGACCACTGGGACCCTCAGAGGGGAAGAGGCTGGGCTGGGGGAGTGCCAGCCCCAGGTCTTGCAGCAGCGCGGGGCGTGTGGTCCTAGGGCTACAGGGCCCACCCTGGGGGCTGGGAGGGGTGAGCGCAGCCCACGGCTCCCCAGGCTGGCCTTGACCCCCGGCCGGCAGAGAGCATACCTGTGCACTTCCTCCCAAGGCGGCACCCAGCTGGCAGCTGGTCAGCCCAGGGCCGGCGGCGGACACGGGGGCTGGCTCCCAGAAGCACCCCCCCAGCCTCCGGGCCTTCTCGAAGGCCTTCTCGTACTTGCCCGTGTGCCACCCAGCCTCATCCTCGTTAGCAGTGGCCTCAGTTCGTGTCCTCAGCTGGTAGGCGGGCCTGAGGGGATACCAGGGCGTGGCTCAGAGAAAGGGTGGCTGTGGTTGCTTCCTGTCTTCACGCGTATTGATGAAGCACCTGCTCTGGGCCAGACACCATGGAGCTGAGCCACTCAGCATGCTGGCGGGTGTGGGGGGCCGGGGGGGCGCCTCTGAGGAGGTGAAATTAGGCTGAGACCTGAAGCTTCCAACTGCTTGGAGAAAGGAAAGGCCACTTCCTCATGGTGGGGGTGGAGGCGACAACACGTGCAAAGGCCCTGAGGTCCCAGGGCCTGGGAGGCTGATACACGTGAGGATTCTAGACCTAGGCCCCTGGCAGAAGCTCCAAGGGCACCTGGGAAGAAGGAAGTGTAGGCTGACATGCACGCCGAGAGCCTGTAAGACCTGGCCGGCCTGGGCCTGGAGGGCCCCCAGGGAAACGTCTTCCAGGCAAAGGGCCCCCAACACCCCCAGCCCTTGGCTTCTAGGGATGCTTAGGAAGCCCGTGTGTGCGCGCGTGTGTGTGTGTGCGTGCGTGTGTGCGCGTGTGTGTGGCGGGCACTGGAGAGGCTGGGCCGCTGAGGAAGCCACCGTGGAAGACGGCATCCTGCTCTCGTCCCTGGCGTTGCCCTCTGCCCGCCTGCGTTGGCGCCTGGCCCCCACCTCGGACAGCCAGGGAGGCCGTGTCCATAGTTCGCACAGACTTTCAGAGAAAGGCGCTGGGGGCAGGCGACACGGACCCGTGAGCCCCAGGGACGGCGTGTCCCCTGTGTGCCTGCAGCCGTGACCCAGACATCTCAGCGAGCCGGCCTGAGGCAGCTGGCGTCACATCCTGGGAACCCCGGCTCCGTCTCCGAGATTAATTGGTGCTTTTAATTGCGGGCTGGTCGGCAGAAACCAAACGACCGGGACAAAGATGAGCCGTCAGCTCTGAGCGGTGGCCCCGTAACGAGCCCCGTCCTGCCCTGCTGGGTCTCCAGGGCGAGAGGCAAGGGCTCGCGGGGCGCCAGGAGGCCAGTGTCCCCCAGTAACAGACTCTCAGGGCTCCGGGCCAAGCTTTTTGTTGAGGCACCCCTCCCAACGGAGTTTGCCAGCTGGCGCGGACCCTCTGGTTGGGGCGAAAGTCCTTGGTTGGGCCGATGTCCACTTAGAAGCTGGCCGTGTCTGCTCCTCGCCTTCTGTGTGTGCAGAGCACACTGATGCCCAGGCCCCCCTCCCCTGCCCGCGGGCCCAGGGGGTTCTGGGCCAGCCCGTGGGGGGTGCCGGTGCTCAGGACGCCTCCCGGCCTCCGGGCTGCGGCAAATGCGCTCCAGGCTCTCCTGTCGCCCCTTCTCGCCAGCTCTGAGCCCCGCCGGTAAGTAAAGCCCTGCTGCCCAGGGGTGGCCGCTGACAGAAGAGCGCGGCGAGACCCCTGTGTGGCGGTTCTCTGAGAAGACCTGGGGAGAGGGCAGTGCTTGACCCGGTGGGCTGAGCCCCAGTGCACGTTGCCTGCCCAGTGACATGTGCTACGCAGATGTGTCGAGAACAGCTGTGGTCTCTGCTCTGGCTTCCACTCACCCCTGCTGGGTGTGGGCCTCCGGCTGTGCCCATCCATCTCTCCTCTCCTGTCCTGGGCCCAGGGGTCCGACTCCACCGGTGACATGAGGGTCTGAGTGTATGACTTTGATGGCAAGCAGAGGCTGCTTCCGCAGCCCCAAACCATCCTCAGGTGTGGGGGGGGTGGGGGGGCGGGGTCTGCACGCACAGCCTTCCCCGGGCAGAGGCGAGGACCAGGCATCCAGGCCAAGTGCCAGCAATATCACTTGTGGGGAAACTGAGTCAGTTGACGTGTCAGAGACGTGGGATCTGCTGTGCCTTCCCTTGGATATTTATTTCCACCCCTTAAGCCTTGTCTATGCAGACAGGCATTATGTGATACCAGGCTCCTAGATCTCTGGACCCCAGACCCCACTGTCCTCCTGGGCCCTCATTCCCCCGGCCCCGCACCTTTCCCTCATTCTGGACCGTGGGCCCCCTGGCTACTCTGGGCTCTTGCCCCTGGACCCCAGTCCTCAGACCCCCTGCCCTTCACCAGCACCTGGGCCCCCATCCCCTGTGCACCATGCCCCCCTGGGCTCCGGCCACGGGGCTCCTCTGAGAAGCTGTGGGGCCGTGAGAGCCCTTCTCAACCCCCATGCAGGAGGGGAGCCATGACACTGAAGTTGGCAAACCAGCTTTCGAGCCCAAATAGGCTGCTGGGAGCTATGCTCG